TACAACCCAACTGCCAGCATGCTTTTACAAACTACAATCCAACACAAATGGCCTCCGGCCTCAAGTAGTAGCCTAACATGGGCAATAACAGAGCGTCTACAGAATTTGTTTACAACAAACAGGGGAGTAGAAAGAATTTATACAGACCCTATTAACAGACGACAAGTTCGGAGCTCGTGACTTGCTCGAATGCCTTCAGGAGCAACTACTGTCTGGGGGGCGCAAAACAGAAAGATGTGAGTGGACAGAAATAAAGTTTCACTTTAAAACAACATAGTAACCCCACCATGTAAAAATAATGCTCTAGCATGCAGTTTCACAATTCAGAAACCGAAACTCAAACACAAAAATCCCAAAGTCCAAAACATCTCCACATCTCAAGCTCATAACTCATTTCCCAAAATATATGCAACTCTCAACAACCCTTAAATACCCATATATAAATAAATATATATATATATATAGCTAGGACTCTAGTATAGTAAAAACAGGTACTTACAAGAATATAGGCAGCATTTGTGGTGGCAATTATTTTGAGACCACCATTGAATGTGTGTGAGAAATGAGCGAGGAAAATCACCAATATGTCTGCTACCCCTTCTTGCACATTGGTAACTACGGCAGCTATTTGAAAATGTGGCTGAGACCAATTGATTTGGAGGTACGTTATCAAGATAGAAATTATCGCATGGTTGACGAAGCTATGGCTGAAAACCAAACCTGCATTATATATATATGCAGAAATAAGAAGAAAATTGATTAGAAATTAGTTTGAATCACACTCTTTAAAATATATCATTACACTTTCATTTTAAAGCATCTCTGAGATAAATACCCTGGATGCATACTGTAGCCTTGGAAAAGTAGAGGTACTTATGGATGCACTCTCTCACAAAGTGAATGAGTGCTCCCAAACCCATTATTGAGGAGGGGAGTGCAGATAATCTTCAGTCGATGTAAAGGAAGTGAGGGAGGGTGTTCTGCTTTTGAAAGCAAAATCTGCAGTCTTCACAAACTAATTAAAGTAGTTCCCTCTTCTCTTGCAAAACGAAATGCATATTAGCCAACAACAAAAAAAGCAATGAAAACATATACGCATCAAGAACAAATGAATATGCATGGCTGTGCAAACCTTTGGAAGATGCCTACCTCAAGAAAAAACAAAAAAGCAAACACTAAAATCTTTTTGCATAGGTGTATTGCACCTGCTCTCCACAGTGTAGTATATGAAATAGTGAGTGTGAATGTTCACTCTGAGAGAGAGAGAGAGAGAGAGAGAGAGAATTACAACAAGAGCATTACACAAGTTTAACATTTGTGGCTAGTAACTTTTTTGGCTAAATTATGAATGCAATCTCAGAATTTCTCAACCAAAAAAAGAGACCAATTTTAAATATATTTGAAGAAAAAAAAACTTAATTTTATGCCAAACTTGTATATTTGGATTTATTTATTTATTTTCAAAAATATAGGCCAAGAAAGGTATAATGCAATTCAATAGCGATGTGGATCCTATGGTTAGCCTATTGCAATGCATTGATATAATGCATAAATTGCCTTATTTTTCTTATTTTTAATTTGCATATGGTTCACATGGTTAGCCTATTGCAATTGCAATTATTGGAAAGCTACCACTATACGTGTGTGAGATATGAGCAAGGACAATCACCATGATATCTGTTCCCCTTTCTTGCCAATTTGTAACTGCGGCAGCCATTTGGAAATGTGGATGCTTCCAGTTGTACGTGACGTACCTTATCAAGATGAGACACTATCGCATGGTTTACGAAACTGACTCAAAACCGAACCTGCGTATATTTATTTAGTTGGCCAACGGCTACCACACAAAGAAATTAAAAACAAAAAGAAAACAATCACAAGTTAGTTTCAAATCAATCACCAAACCTGCTACTGTAACTAGTGTATCAATCTGTCGATGTAAAGGAAGTGAAAATTGACTTATATTTGGACCTGATGTTTGTCTTCACAACTAGAATTTAGAAATGAACATAAACTTTCTTGTATGTGAAGCAAACGTACTTGAAATCTTGCAATTGCAAGCATATATGGTACTGATGACTCTCCACTGTGGAGAGGGAGAGAGAGAGAGATGAACAAGGGAAATTTGGTTTCAGACAGTGTGGAGGTCTAGGAGAGACAGAGATTTACAATTTAGAGAAACCATTTGAGATTGGAATGGGGAAGCCACCTTTGCGTGCAGATTGCATTATTAGAAGCCAATAAGAATATGTTCCTTTTTTCTTTGGAAGAACATGAAAAACACGAGGAAGACTTTTGTAAAAGGAAAGGAACCAGAAGAGACCAGGGTCTTTGCAAGTGGTTGAGAAGAAGAATTTGAGTTTTTTCTCACCACTTGCACACCCTCAGGGCCACCCCTGACTTCAAGTCAAATAAGTGTGAAACTATATATGTAGTCTTGATGCTTAACAAAGATCAAATAACATGTATCTGAATCAGAATGCCTTATTTACGGAGTAATTGGACGACTTGAAACCGAAAATGAAGCTCTTTTTTCTATTTTCTATGGCTGGTGAATTCTCAGGAAGGTAATTCATAAGGGGGAGAAAGCCACGAAAATGAAACTGACCTCAAAAGTATTTTTATGTTTTAAACTTAAATTTTGTGAAGACTTAAATTAAAACTATTGATTTACACTTTAAAATTCACCAAAAGGATTGAAATACGAAGACTTAAAATTCATTAACTGAATTGAATGACTAATAGTTAGGGAGTAATATTAAATAGTTATTTATTAGAGTTATTTACACTAACACCCCTGAGGTTTCTTATATTTTCACAAAATCCCCTCCGGTCACAAAACTTACACGAACACCCCCTAAAGTTTCAATTTGTTTTCACTAAACCCCTTTTTGTGGATTGTTTGTCCAAAACTTGATAATTTCATTTAAATATATAAGAAACTTATGCAAATGACAAAATTACCTCAATAAAGTATATGCAATCTAATTTTGAAGGTCAATTTTGTCATTTCGAGATTTGTTTTGTACAAAATCATCAATTTTTGGATGAAAAATTAATAAAGGGGAGTTTTCTTTTAAAGCAGAAAACCCAGAAGGGTGTTAGTGTAAATAACTCTTATTTACTATACAAGTATATATGCAATGCCATTTGATTATGCCATCCATAAATAGATAGCTCTTTCACTTTCATAGATGGTTATTTAGCTTAAGAGGGCAAAGAAAGAATATTTTAAAACATTGGAAATTCGAGGGCAATGCTCAAGTAAGAACTGTTTATAAAACTGAATATTAAAATCTGGTTCAATATTAAAATTGGAGGATAGTCATTCTTTCCAAGTTGTTTGCCCCACAAGAAGGCAACTACTATAATAAAGTTTCTTGGTAGAGCAATAATGTTGAACCCTCTGATCGGGCACAACTTAACAACTACTTGCTAAATATATTGATAGCGCTATAAAATGAGCCCCACCAGGAACAAGTGTTGTGTTGAGTTGTGGAGAATAATTCTAGGAGACGAGTGTTTGGATGTTGGCATGCAGATGTCGCATTTCGAGCAAGCTGCAAGCTAAAAGGCAGTTCTGTGAAAGTTGCATCTAATTTTTTGATTTTCTTCTAGTTAGCTTGAAAGTGATGCAGTTATGACTTGAAGTCAATTGAATTGCCCCCCAAGATGACTTGATGTGAAAGAATCTGAGGTTGTATTTGCCCCCCTAGATGACTTGAGGTCAATTGAATTGCTTTCAGGGACCTACATGAGTAAATGCTTATTGGAAACGTACCAGTAAAGTTATTGACCAAGTCTGGAAAAATCAAGCACGCAGATATCTCCTTCCAAGTTGTTGGATTGGATCCCAAGTGTAGTTCTACAAGGTTTGTGAAATTCATCAAAGATGAGGGCAAAGAACCTTGTAAATTGTTGAAATCAAGGGTCACAAATTTCAACTTGGAGAGCTTCCCAAAAATAATCAGTGAGAAATCACAGCAAAAAACACTAAAAAGATGCCCATTGGATGAATATTTTTCACTAACCTTGCTTGAGAGTGACATGGCCTGAGATATATGGGCATGTCTGCCACTAATCTTGCTTCTAAATAATCACTCTTAATTTGGGTTTGACTGGGATGTGAAATTGGATGAGTTGGTGATGAACTGAAATGGGTTCTGATCACTTGTTCTTGTCTTAAATTACTAAAGCAAGCTGCAAGCAGAAGCACTGAGACTGAGAGAGACTAATTTATTTGTTGTGGGTTTTGTTTGTATTGTTGACTGGGATGAATGAACTAACGATGAAGTGAATTGGGTTGTATTCACCATTGTTCCTGTATTTAAGTTACTAAGCCAAGCACAAGCGCAAGCACCTAGAGAAAAAATTATACATATAATTGCTTTTTGGGTTTTGTTTAGATTTTTCAATTGATTAGGAGGATGACTAATAGAAGAAAAATAAGAGAGCATTGCCCTATCATAGTGGTTTCATTAAACAGTCTTCTGCTTTCTGCAAATATGTGCACTACATGACATGACATGACTAGTACCAAGTAGCAAAGCAAAGATACGATTAATCCAATCAGATTCGACCCTGAAAGTGTAATCATATTCAGATAAAAAGGCAACCAGGTTCGTACCCAGCAATAAGCCAAACAAAATATCATTCCAGACCGGTGACATAAAAAACCTACAGCCCATCTCGAGCAGCCTCCTTGCTTATCTACAGCATGCCTACAAGACTCATGGTGACGTAGCCTCAAGCACAGTAACGGTTTGTACCGGGGATGCCTCCATCATCCCTGCCTGGTGTGTAGTTATCTTGGTATTGCCCAGGAACCCCTCATCTTGCATTAGGCGGTGGACCTCCCATGTTATTTGGTGGTGGGGGCACTCAACTTTCAAACAAACTCACATATGAAAAAGAAATAACAGAGCTACTCTTGTTCGATGTTTTGTACCATACACAATCCAACCTCAAGTAAACCCCACTACTATTTTACACAGATGCCACGAATCCATAATATCAAACATAAAATTGGAACAGAGAAAGCACACACACCAGAAACGGTCTCCTCAGAGCATCGATTTTTGTCATGGTGTGCAGTGAAACGTGAACTTATGCCCAGCCGCATCAACAATTAGTCTTTCAGCTCCACCTACACATCAAATTCATAAATACAGCCTTCAACAACAATAGAAAGAAGAAGTAGAAATTACCTATGCCCAGAAAATAATAGCAACGTTCAACAATTTCTTCGCCATTTTCAGCTCTCCAATTCTCTGCATTCTAATCAAAGTCTCAAAAGATAAGCTTTTTTCTGCAAATTGGGCCAGAACTGGGTCGGTTCTGGCCCAACATTTGTAATATAAAGTATTGGGTTCTGGCCGAGTTCGATATGATCCGACTCATTTCAGTTTCAGACCAAAAACAGGTCGTGATCTTTCTCAGTACTCAACTTCTCGCACAGAAGAATCTGAAGAAGAGGAGAAGAGAAATGAATGGAGAAGAATTAGCGGGCCTCCCAGGCCCCAAAGCTCCGCCGTCTGCTTTATTTTTTGGGAGTATCACTAAAACACCAAAAATAGGGGCTGAAATTAATAAAAAACCCAACACCCAAAACACTTTATAAACACACCCAAAACCCATCATTACACATACTCAAAACCCATTTATAAACACACCCAAAAACTATACAATTGTTGATTTTGGGGTTGATTTTGGGTGTGTTTCTATGCTTAAATAGTGCTTGGGTTTTTTTATAAATACATGTCTATGATTGGGTTTATTTATAAATTTGTATTATTTTTTCGGCGTTGGCTGCAAGTCATGAATTTTCATTTCAATTTTAAGTCTTTGGTTCTTAAGTCTTTTTCTTCTTCCTTTTTAAATGTTTGGTGGATTTTAAATTCAGTTGTTTTCTTTCAGGGCTTCATGATAGGTTCGCAGATTCAGAAAAGGAAAACAAAGAAGCAAATTAAAGGAAAGGCATTCATGACCCCTCTCTGTACCAGCTATTAGTACTTATAAATGATTCTGAATGATGCCAAAAGGATAATCGTATCCTAGCTTTACGGGAAATAGAATCTAAACTATTGCAATGAAATAGAAAGGATGGATAGGTCCTATCACTTCATGGAAGAGGTCCATCCGACGACAATGCAGTGTTTTTATGTGAAAAATTTATCAGGTGAATCTGTCATGACCAGAAATGAAGAAGAAGAAAAAGAAAAAAAATTAAAAGCAAACTGAAAATGCAAAATAAAAAGTACAATATTAATAATATATATCTAGTCTCGAAGTCTTCTGTACATCCTGTTGAGGGGGACTGTTATCATCACATAGAGGAGCCTATCTTGTACGTTGTTTATGAATCGAAAATATGCATATCTCCAAGTCTTGTTAATAATTAAACAACCACAAACTCCCCAAAATCCCACTATAAACCCCAATGCTGCAAAGATATAAAACCATGGAAGTTGATGAAGCCAATTGTGCACGTCTTTGTTGTTCTTGTTATCTGCATCAATGCCCTTATTTGGTTCACACTTTGGAAGTGGCGCACCACAAAGTTTTGGGTTCCCCTCAAACGCAGAAGCTTCGAAGCTTTGGAGCTGGGTGCCTGTTGGTATCGATCCTTCAAGGTTATTATATGAGACATTAAATTCTTTTAAGAAATTAAGGCTCGCCAATGACGATGGGATTATTCCAGACAAGTGATTCATGGAGAGGTTCAAAACCTCTAAATTTTTTAGGTTAGATATTTGGTCTGGAATGACACCGGAGAAGTTGTTGGAGTCAAGACTCAACGTGTAGAGAAGATGCAATTGGCTGATCTCCGTGGGTATATCACCAACAATGTTATTCGTAGACAAGTCTATCGTTGCTGGAAAAAAATACAATTTTTGTGATAGAAAAGTTTGATTTACGGTTATGCTAATGCTGCTGCTGTAGACAGGAAATTCAAATTCATAATTGTCTCCTTGAGATGCAATTGGTTCATGAAGCAACCTTGGTAGTCGACAAAGTTGCTGTGGAAATTTACCTGAAATTTGGTTGTGTGACAAGCTTATATAAAATAGTCTAGGAAGAGTCCCCAACCAACTTGGAATCGGCCCTGTGATTTGATTAAAACCCAGAGCCAAGATCTCTAAATTCTTGAGCTTTGATAACCAAAAAGGTATTTGACCAGTGAGGTTAGAACGAACCAAACCCAAGACTCGAAGATTTTGGAATCCATCAAAATCAACCATATCGTCATCAGATGGCATTCCCTCACCCACATCCCTCACCCACAAAGGAACCGCTAAGCAAGAGTGCGTGAAGACTTTTGCAACTCATCAATATCTTCATTGCCCCTGTGAGGTTGGTGAATCGGTTGTAACCAAGCGAGAGGAAGGACAAGGATTTCAATGAAAGTATCTCAGCTTGTATTTGTCCCTCTAGATTATTTCCAGTCAACCGAATGGCTTTCAGGAACCTACATAAGTAAAGACTTACTGGAACCGTACCAGTGAAGTTATTGATCCGTAGGTCAAGTTTAGTAAGTTGACTCAATCTTGAGAAATTAAGCACAGAGATATCTCCTTCCAAGTGGTTGTTTCCCAAACGCAGTTCGACAAGGTTTGTGCAATTCATCAAAGATGGGGGCAACACACC